TACAGTCCTTGACAGCGGTCTGTTCTAGTGGATTAACAACGTGTCACATGTTCTGAATCGACCAATCAGAACTTTATTTAGCCTCCGTATTGTTTATGGTTGAATGTGGGCCGCGAAACATTTTTAGATTCTTAACATCCCGATAGCAATGAATAAATTAAATGCTTTGACGATAAATACATAAAAATATATCTGTGGAAGCCGTGGCGCTGTAAAAAGCACGACCAATCATCTGAGCCGGCCCGGCTAAAGTAACTGGATGGCCTACCTGCCTGTCAGCCTTCCATCTCGTGCCCTCATTGGTCATGTCGTGTGTGTTGGAGGAGGGGCTCTGTGAGAAAGTCTGAAGGAAGGGGCAGATTGTTTCCGGCTGTGTTACCTACCCTACCTTAAAGTGGGCCCTGAGTTCAAAAAGGTTGGGAACCATTGCTATAGCACAGACGTCTGGTTACAATGCACATATTAATGCATTTTTACAAGAACGTTTTATCTTTATTTTTGCTTCAAAAATCATAAAGCCGTGTTAATATGTGGAGATTATCCTGCTGTACAAAACGCGTAAGTATCATAAATACACAGATACACGCTTTACAACATCAGGAAGATACGTCCCCAGCTGACTCAGAAAGCGACTCAGGTTCTGGTCCAGGCTCTCGTCATCTCACGCCTAGACTACTGCAACTCCCTCCTGGCTGGTCTACCTGCATGTGCCATCCGACCTCTGCAGCTCACCCAGAATGCAGCGGCTCGTCTGGTCTTCAACCTTCCTAAATGTTCCCACACCACTCCGCTCCTCCGCTCCCTTCACTGGCTTCCGGTAACTGCTAGAATCCACTTCAAGACACTGGTACTTGCTTACCGTGCTGCGAATGGATCTGGCCCGTCGTACATCCAGGACATGGTTAAACCGTACACCCCAGCGCGTGCACTACGCTCTGCATCAGCCAAACGACTCGTTGCGCCCTCGCTGCGAGGGGGACCCAAGTTCCCATCAGCGAAAACACGTGGGTTTGCTATCCTGGCTCCAAGATGGTGGAATGAGCTCCCCATTGACATCAGGACAGCAGATAGCTTGCACATCTTCCGGCGCAGATGAAAACTCATCTCTTTCGACTCCACTTCGAGCGATAGAATTAATAACAAAGCACTTATATACTAATAAAGGACTGGCTTATCTATAGCCAGTTGAGTAGCACTTGAAATGTTTGGCTCTATGAAACCTGATGTACTTATATGATTCTGTTTTCTTCAAGGTTGTGTCTTCCTGGTCGAATGTACTTATTGTAAGTCGCTTTGGATAAAAGCGTCAGCTAAATGCAATGTAATGTAATAAATGTGTGTTTGCCACAGAGCTTATTGACTGCGATATACTGACATCCCATTGCTTTTAGTCGAGGGAGTCTTCCAGGTCAGCCTCCACAGTCATTCATCACTGCATCACTATATTGTGCATATGACAATAAAACCTTTGAATCTCAGATCTTATGATCATTGTGCTGATAAACCAAAGAGGAGACGAGAAGCAGCCGAGCCTCGTCTCCTCTTTGTCTCTCGTCCCGCTCTCTTTTCCCTCTCGTCCTCCCCACTTCATCTCCTCCCTCTGCTTTGTTGTTCCAGAGGTGTGAGAATATTGCCTACATCAGCATATCTTGTGTTCTGTCAACAGATTATTCCACCAACGTGAAGCGTTTGAAGTTAAACACAGTTTGTGCTCTGTACAGATCTGCGGCTCAGTTAAAGTCCACATCTGATGTGATTGTTCAGACCCTTCGTATCCTTTTAATAATTTCAGTTATTTTCACTTGTGTGGCTGCACTTTGAGCTCACAGCCGCTTGTTGTCCCCTCGCTGTAAACACATATTGACGTGCATGCTGCCAGACTTCCTTAATAGCTGACTAATGCTGCTTTCAACCCGGTGTGACCACTCTTTGTGGCTCTGTGTGTGTGTGTGTGTGTGTGTGTGTGTGTGTGTGTGTGTGTGTGGGGGTTATTTTATAGGAGACGTCCTTTTCAAATGGCTTTAATTTGTTTTTATTACTTTTCCGTCTATAGTGGCCTTTCACAGATGTGCTGTACCTGTGTGTGTGTGTGTGTGTGTGTGTGTGTGTGTGTGTGTGTGTGTGTGTGTGTGTGTGTGTGTGTGTGTGTGTGAACTGGTGTATGTGCAACACAACATTACAGTGTGATGGAAAATGCACTTTTTAAATATTTTTAAGGTTTTCCTGACTTTACTTTTTAATTATCCCCCTCTTATATAAATTAATAAAACATTTTAAAGTGAAGTTTATTGTTTAAAATCATATTTTGTTATATTGCGCTATTGATGCAATGTTTTGTAAAGGTAATTATTCAGTGGTTAAATATACCTCCTTTTATCAACCAGCTTTAAAGGTCACCTAGTGTGCAAAACGCACTTGTTCATGTCTTTCATACATCAGCATACATCATACATCACCCTCTGTGTAAAGAGACTCTGGAAGTTTCAGGAACTAATACCCCCTCTCTTTTTGTCCTGATCCAACAATATATGTGTATGTCAGTATGTATCTGTAGAAAAACAGATATTATTCAATACATATGTTTTCCGTTATCCTTTAAAATGATTTGTTCCTAATATTCCATAATCCTAAAGGCTCTGCCGTCTCTGTCCTGTTCCAGTCTGATGTTACACATTGTGAGTCTTTACTGATGACTTGAACATCTGCTCTGTGTAAGCCACTACCACCTGTTTATGACATTACATCTGATAATTCCACTTAAAGAGGCCCTACTTGGCTTTTCCCTTTCCTGTAGTGTGTTATATAGGTTTTAGTGCATGTAAACGGTCTGCAAAGGCTAAAGTTCACACACTCCCCCGCTGCATGAAACGCCTAATTTTGACTGCTTTGCAGAGGTGGGACCAAGTCATTGTTTTGCAAGTCCGAGTCAAGTCTCAAGTCTTTGCGCTCAAGTCCGAGTCGAGTCTCAAGTCAGGTTGGGCAAGTTCAAGTCCAAGTCCTAAACTTTGACCAAACGAGTCATAAACAAGTCATTATGTGTTTTTCACCAAATGTAATGACATCGATCAACAGAATAATACTTAATAATCAAACCGCTCTTTATTAGTCACATTAATAATTTAATAATCAATTTTCTCTCTGCTGGTAAAGTAACGTGTGTTTTTCTAATTTAAGAGGGAACAATAAGGTAAGGCTACCGTGACGGTTTGATTCAGAAGGAGTTTAATGTATAAGATCCCTGATGTTGAGGTGACCAGAATGTTTATTTCCACTGTGTACAACATGTTATAAGGGACCCACAATCTATCTTTATGCAAGGGATAATGTGCAGCGAGGCGGTCTCTATGGGGAAGAGAACACCTGCATCTAGATCCCTCTGCAGGTGGTACTTTAACTATATTTTGATGCTAATACTTTTGTACTTTTACTTGTAACATTTTGAATGCAGGACTTTTTATTGTAACCGAGTATTCCTACACTCTGGTACTTTTGTACTCAAGTACAAGATCTGAACTTCTCCCACCTCTGACAGTAAATCCTGAGTGGTTACCAAAATAAAGGTAACCAAAAAAGGTTATTTTCATTTTACAAATCCTGCACTCAGCTTTGCTTTCTCCACTATCACTTTTTTCGGTTTTCGCTCATTTCTTGACTTTTCCCGACGCGCTTGCATTTAAATCCGTCTCCCCGTCTCCCCGTGCAGCTGGCCTGTACCACTACACATGCTGTGCCCCCCACCCTTCTTTCACATAATGGTATGATCCTAGTGTGTCCTCGCATATGATTGGCTGCATGGTGGGCCAGCTAAATAAAGACCCGCCCCTGCCTGCAAGGATTCTCAGCAAGAGTAGGAGCGGCTGAAGATTCTGCTCTTCTAGCGGCAGCTCGCGATCGGCGTGTTGGAGACCTCTGAATTAAAGTATCAAGTCACCTCAAGTCAGAAGGCTCAAGTCCCGAGTCATTGGTGTTCAAGTCCAAGTCGAGTCGCAAGTGTTTTGTGATTTTGTCAAGTCGAGTCTCAAGTCATCAAATTGGTGACTCGAGTCCAAGTCATGTGACTCGAGTCCACACCTCTGCTGCTTTGTATTCTTACGTATCATAGAAACACTTAAGCTTCTTTGGCTCCAACACATTGTACGTGATTGGCTAAGGGGCGGGACATCTCTTACTGGTTGACCAATCACAACAAATGAACATATTATGTCCTCTTTAAATACAAAATATATATAACAACAACAAAGAGAAAAAAACAAAACATTCAAGGTACACAAAACAGGGGCAAGAAGAATCTTAAATGGCCCCCACCCCTCCGCTCCCCCTCTAGCGTGCATTTTCCTTGAAACTAAAAGATTAGGTCATCAGCGCCATGTTGTAAAAACATTTTTTTTTAAATGTTGTACGAAACAATCAAAAAGAAATAACTTTTACACTGACAAGAAACAGGTCCTGCTCATAGCCATTCAGGATTTGGCTTCTAAATAATAGTTTTAGTTTAGATACACTTTAATTTTGAATTTAGAAAGTTTTGAATTTGTTCGTATGGATGGTTTTTGAAAAAGGCAGTTTCCTCTCAACATGTGCATGCCCTCTCTCCGTGACGCTACATACTGTACGTGAAACAATGTGGGTTCGCTATCCCATTCCCATCCTAATGGGGTATGTAATGGAAGTTTCGTTTTGAAGGTGTTAGATATTTGTATCAAGGACAGCAAAACATTTCAAAGTGTTTTTTAAGGGTGATTGGGAATAGAGACCAACCTTCTCTCTGAGATCAGATTAAGTGTATAGGCCGTGTGTAAAGTGTTGTATGACATGTGAGAAGGAGCTAATTAACAAATAGTGTGTTTTGTGCATGCATTGCTTGCATCATCACTTTCTAGACAGCATCCGATTTTGTTTTTTAAGACAACAGGTGCAATAGAAACCGCACACAATGACAGAACCAAACACACAACAGCTGTCCTGAACTACGATCAGTAACTGAAGCCACGGTTTCTTACCTTATAGTTGCGGCAGGTGGGGTTGAAGGCGTTGGTGCCGCATGCGAACAGCGTCTCGTCGTTGCGTGGCACCAGCACTTTGATGTAGTTGTAACATTCATCCTGCCAGGTGGAAAACAGGCTCATGTTACTGTGCGTCAGGTACGGGCTAATGTTGCCCGGGCAACGGCCCTTTTGCCATTTTTGCCTGACCTGCCCCTCTGGAGAGAGCCAGAGTTGTTTTGTTTTCTATTGTGGCCGAATCAACATGATAAGCCCACAATTAGTATTGTAGCGTCTCGCTGCGGGAAACACACCTTGTCCGCGCTGTCACCTGCCCCCAGTCACCTGACTTTGTTTACAATCTGACAGCTGGAAGCAAAGGAAAGCCCTCCGAGTCCAACCTCATATGGCTATGGTGATCACACCAAACGCCTGCCTGGCTCCTGCCCGTTAGAGTATAGGGGACAAACCAGGGGACTTTACTTCCTCTTGACACCGTCGGTTGTGCTTCTGTCTTTCTGTGTCTTTTACTCTGCTCCGTAAACTCCCTCACCCTCGCTCTCTTTTCTTGATCGCCCTCTCACGGAGAACTCTTCACTGTCCCGCTTTATAGTAGGATTTCTGCCATGTCTCCACTTCAGTTTGACCATCTCTGTTATTAAGTGATGGAATTCTAAATAAATAAGTAATTAGATACCTTACCGTTACTACGCTCATAAAGAATGATAAGAATAATGCGTCTTGAACTGGTTTAATTAATTAGTGAGTTTATTTAAGGTAATTATAGAAGCCCTATGTTATCAGTAGCCTATGTCTGCACAGCAGTAACAAAACTGAATTGTCCCCATTGTTTCTTTAATAGTTACTAACATTAGATATTTTAATGAGATATGGACCGCAACAAAATATGGACCGCAAATAACGAATTTAGCAGTTGGACATAAAAGTCAACTGAGTGTCACTTGCAATGACAGTGTTGTGTTTTTATTTTATGAGTTTATGGTAGAATTGTTTTCCAGTGTAGAGCAATAGCCCCTCCAAATGTCTGTGCACGTCCCTGCTGTGCGTCAGGGACCTGGTCCAACGACAGAATCAAAGCAGGAAGAGAGACACACAACCCTCCTTCTGTTTTACAGTCTCCATTGTTAATCCCCAGGCTGGTTCTTGTGGTTACGATGTAGCTCTGGGGGGGACATGCTACGCTAAAGCCCCCCGCCTGTCTGCTGATGGATGTGCCGCTGATTGTGATAAGCTACCTGCAGACCATTGCTTATTGCAAATCTACGCTGTGCAGGAAGGCAGAGGGTGAGCAATAAGGGAAAGATAATACTCACGCTGTTCTTGCCTCTCACGGTGCACTTCTCCACATCCTTCGTCTTCCAAGTCAGTTTCTGAAAAATGAACAGACAGCCAACTGTCAGCTCAAAGACAAGCTGCTTCTCACCATCGCAGCTTTTGTTGCTCCCAATCGTTCAAGTGCTATTACGAGACAGCTGCGAAGAAAATCTCATTAACTTCAATAAACCGTCACGGAGAAGAAAAACAAACAAAGTGTATCAAAGAAGTGTACACACCACACACACCACACACACACACACACACACACACACACACACACCACACACACACACACACACACACACACACACACACACACACACACACACACACACACACACACACACACACACACACACACACACACACATACACACACACACACACCACACACACACACACACACACACACACACACACACACACACACACACACACACACACACACACACACACACACACACACACACACACACACACACACACACACACACACACACACACACACACACACACACACACACACACACACACACACACACACACACACACCACACACACACACACACACCACACACACACACACACACACACACAACGTCATTTAGCCCCAATTAACCTTCTGGCCAAACGCCCCGCACCCCAGAGTCTGTTTACACACTTCCTGTCTGTGCGCTGGTCGACCAATGGAAAACAGATCCATCAACCAGTTAAAAAGCTTCGCCAGTGGACGGTTTAATGTCCTCCCTTCAATTGTCGGGTAATATTATGACCAGAAGTTTCTCAGAGCTCATAAATAAGGCAGAGGAGCTGGCAGCTGTTTACACTGCAGCTTCACTTCCAAGATATTCTTCAGTCAACAGTTTGTGACAGGACACGAGCAGACAGGAGCTCGATGTCTCTGAGGGTATTATGGGATGGCTTGGAGCTGTGCAGCACGACTGGGGTCTGCTTTGAGTCTGAGCTTGAGGCCACTTCCAGGATTCTTTTTAGACTCATTTTAATATTAATTTCGAGTGGAAAGTGTCTCTGTTTTAGCCACTTTTAAATGTTGACTCTTTAAAAATGTTATCTTGTACACAATAAAGAAATGTAGCTACCTGTAAATATATTTATTTTTGCTTAAAGATGGTACACCTTTATTTCCTCACACAATTAGAAATAGTGTAATAAAAATTACTTTCTTATTTTAGAGATGACATCCTATAATCATTCATTCACATTTCTTTTTCAAATACATTTGGACTTTAGACTTTAATATACGCACATACTGTAGGATATTCCTAAACATTGTTTCATGCCAGCTCTTTTAAAATGGCACAGCTCGTCCTCTTTACATTTTGATATACTGCACATATTTTTAATTTAGTACATTTTCATAATTTAACTGCAATTTAATACAATATTTTTATATTTCTTCCTATTATTGTGTTTGAATTGATTAATTATACACCCAAGCACATTTTCTGTATGTGTTCAACTTTTTGGTAATAAACTTTGATCTGATTAATCCGTCTATCTAAATGCTTTTAAAATACGGTTTAGAACGAAGAAAGAACACAATTAACAAAAAGACATGTCAGAAAACACAATCAAATAAATGTCATGCATCAAATATGTGTCTAAATCCTTATAAGGCACAACTGGAGAGACTTTTGAGTCTTCCTTTCCCTTTTGGCTGCTCGGGTCTTAACCGTCTCAAGGTGTTCTGAACCACGGCCTTGCACTTATCGCCCTGTGCTAAAACTCATGTTGATGCCTTATTGGAGCGGGAGCGGGGCGGGGGTCACTCCTCTTGGACCAAAAGTCCCTGAAAAACAATTTGTCCCACAGGCACCTTATTCTGTTGTTTCTCAGAGCTGCTTTTCCATTTCATTGGAAAGCTTTCCATCCAGCGGTCTAATCAGAAAATACTTCGGACAGAAGAATGCAATCTAACAGACGGGAACACCTCATGGAGGAAAGACATGCATCTCAATAGGGTTGGGCTTTAAACCAAACTTTTCTTGATTTATACCGAATGCAATAAGTTTAATAATGAACACATCCAGTGAAATGCCCAAACCCACTAATGCATTAGTCATTCCCCTTTAAATGTCTGACTTCCCTTTTGTTTACGTCACTTGACCGAAAGCCTTATGCCTCTTTCTGCAGATTTATGTGTTTGGAAAAAGGTCTTAAATAAACATTTTGATTTCTCACAAAGGCTCATTAATTTCCTGAAACAGCTGCGCTCTGTAGTTTCCAGTAAACATTATTCAAGCAGTTCAAAACGGTGTCTTTGCCTGGGACTATTTTCAGCGGAGGATTGATACACAAGAAAGGGTTTTACATCAGCTGAATGTGGGATCGACTCAATCTTAACTACAACCAATTTAACAGATGTAAAATTAGTTAGTGGGATCTATTGATTGTTGGTTTGGGTCTTCAAGAGGTTTGAAAAAAAAAATAACATGGGGGGATGCCCTGCAGTACATGGTGCTGCACATATTTTGTATGTTTGATACTTTTTGGGTACACACAAGACAATCTGTCCAAATATTACTATCAATAAGCTCAGTCAGGAGGTTTATACGTCTCTTCATAGTGTTTAATACCTAATACTGTTCCGACTGTACATACTGTATTTAGAATACTTATAATATACACATCACTGCTTTTCTAACACTTTTGGTTTGATGCTAACTGCATTTCGTTGTGCCAGTACTTTTACTGAATGGCAATAAAGACTGAGGACGAGTCATCATTTCCTGAGCCGTATATAAAACTCCTTTTTGTCTCCGATTGGAGAGCCAGCGCCTCCAGGATGCGTGGGACATCTCCGGCGTGACTTTGTGAAGGTTTGACACGATTCAGCTGAGTCAGCATTATGGAAATGGACCCACCTCGTCTACGCTCCATTTGGTTTACTAATAATTACTTATGTTATGGCCACCGAAGCCCAGGGAGATCAGCGAAGAGAGGAGAATGTGATGAGGGTAAAAGATGAAGAGACGGTTTGAAATAAGTGAAAGAATGGATTTGAGATGAAGAAGACACACCTATTCTAGAGATGCGAGTCATTTAGGGGAGTAATGACTTCAATGATTTCCCACTCTGTTCCTGCTGTCACGCTGGAGGCGGCAGAAGCTCGAGTAAACGGCAAAAAAAGACATCGTCTACAAACATTCAATCTCCAAACTCTCATATAACGTAATGGAGAAAATATGAACTGTTCCCATTTCTTGGTGCCACAGGTTTACACCCAGATCAATACTTTAGATCTCCCTCTCATGGAGAGGGGGTCTGATCAGAATGCATGTGTGTAGCACTCATCTAAATACGAGGTCCACGGCCTCTGAGGGCTTTTATTTCAGTGCAATCGTGTTTGACAAATGAGATTCAGATGGGAAGGAGCGTGGCACTGCAGAAGCCACGAGAGCCCCGCTGCACTTGTATTGGATATACGTCTGAAGAGAGATTGCTTGATACTTCAACGGAAAGGCAGACAAGGGGAGAAAGGGAAATAATGACATAAACATTACAAGAGATTTCCCGTGAAAACACACGGGGGTTCAGAACAACAAGTCTCAGGATATCTGCCTTATATCAGACCTTACCTTTGAACAGGTTCAGGTGTTTATATTTGACATAATATCCGTTTTAGCTAGCAAAACCCCACATTCAGTTATGTGAAATATGTTTGCTTACATCGTCAAATATCAACTAAATGACCACAGAATCCTAAAACCTATTTTAACATTATTTACATCTTTTCTGGTTACTCATTTAGAGATTATTGGTATTGGTTCTGGATGAACACAAGGTGTCAAACGTATCCTAAATGTCGTAGTTAGAGTAAGATCTCTTCCTGGGTGCGAGTTTTGTAAGATTAAGAAAATCAACAGAAAGCTGATAAATAAAGGCAAAACATAACATTCAGTCCCTGTTGTTTTAACGTCAAATTGTATAATTTTCTAAAGGTTAACAGAACCCTGACTAAACTTTGACATATACCAGTCTGTGATAATCGATCAAGGTACGTTCCTCTGATCTTGACTAAAGTCAAAAGCACATTTTTTAAATAGAAAAATAAGGGAATATTTGTGTAAATGAGGTCTATTGACCATAATGCCAAAAGTAAAAGAGTACATGTGGTAATGAGTTGGAATATTAGATGGTATGGTATAGGGATGCCAGTGATTATTCGATTATTCGAATATTCGTTACAGTCTCCATAATCGAATATTATTTTTTAATATATTTTTTTATTATTATTTATGTTTATTTTTATGGCTTAGTTTCAACCAAAATATAGACTAATGCTAATAATAGTAATAGTATAGGATAGGTCGAATAATCAATTATTATTCGCCAGGGCTGCCGAATAATCGATTTTGATCATGGTCAGTTTCTGGCAACCCTAGTATGGTATGGTTTATACCACATGCTAAATATGCTAAACACTCAAACCAGGACAAAAGACCTCTGCAGCTCCTCCAGAATGCAGCGGCTCGTCTGGTCTTCAACCTTCCTAAATGTTCCCACACCTCACCGCTCCTCCGCTCCCTTCACTGGCTTCCGGTAACTGCTAGAATCCACTTCAAGACACTGGTACTTGCTTACCATGCTGCGAATGGATCTGGCCCTTCCTACATCCAGGACATGGTTAAACCGTACACCCCAGCACGTGCACTCCGCTCTGCATCAACCAAACGGCTCGCTGCACCCTCGCTGCGAGGGGGACCCAAGTTCCCATCAGCAAAAACACGTGGGTTTGCTATCCTGGCTCCAGGATGGTGGAATGAGCTCCCCATTGACATCAGGACAGCAGAAAGCTTACACACCTTCCGGCGCAGACTGAAAACTCATCTCTTTCGACTCCACTTCGAGCGATAGAATTACTAACAAAGCACTTATATACTAATAAAGGACTGGCTTGAGTTGAGTAGCACTTGAAATGTTTGGCTCTATGAAACCTGATGTACTTATATGATTCTGTTTTCTTCAGGTTTGTATCTTCTTGGTCGAACGCACTTATTGTAAGTCGCTTTGGATAAAAGCGCCAGCTAAATGCAATGTCATGTAAAAAGTTGCACAGTTGACGGAAACACAACACAAAATGAATTACAGTGATACGTATTCAAACGCATATCAAGACAGACGACATGCTGGATATCAAACATAGAAACAGAGGTGTCGGCGGTGACGACATGTTGTCAGGATTGTGTGCAGACGCTCCTACCTGCTGTGGGATTATCTGCTCAGATGAAGATGCGAGGTTGATGGCAAACACATGGTCCCTGGAAGAGAGTAAAGACAGCGTTATTGGGGCGTCTCCACACGCTTCTCGTCAGTGATGAATGCTCCATAAGCCTCTGATCCAACCATTTCACCAAAACTATGCTTCAAAGGGACGGATCGAATCTGGTGGGAGGTGGATTAACACACTAAGTTACTGGCTTTTCAACTCTTGAAAACTTTCCACAACACTCAAAAGGTTTCCCAACTATCGACCGAATGAATCACTTTGTGAAGCGAGGCGTGCACTCTGTGTATGCAGCTGTGGAAAATATGAAGTCCATTTAAATACATTAGGGATAAACATTTTTTAGATGGGGCTCTTGGCAGTGAGAGCTCTGCAGATTGAGAGGGAGCCAATAACTGAAGATCAATTTAATTTGCACATTGGAGTTTAGGTGGAGGAGGAGCAACCTGTACTTGTTAGATAAGTAACCTACGACATCTTGATTAAGAGAAGAGCAGTGGGCAATTAAGATGAGATGCACAAGAAAGACTTGTTGCAACAACAGGAAGTGTTTGTGTGCAGGTCCGTCTGGCATATTTACGTAGTTAATTAAGTTTAGGTGCATTCAAGTCCAGCGCTAACAGCAGGAAAATGACCATTTACAGGATTTTGATTCATGAAAAACTCTGTAAATGTGCATTCTTACGTTATTTACTGTTGACCTTATGTCTTTCGTTTACCAACTGTCTGCCTTAATATTTTTTGAATACCTCTCTGCTTATGACGTTGCACATTTTGTACATTTCTCTCCCTCACATGCCTTTCAATTTCCCATTTGCCCATTGCCTAGCTCTCACTGGAAATGAGACCTGAATTGACTTCAAGCTTAATTGACTTTTACGGTGAAATTAAGGTGAAAAAAACAACTAAATCTATTATATAAAACCCACGATGAGATCAAATGGATACTTCAGGGTCACAGTAGCCTAAACATTTCCTATGTGTCATGAACAAAACAAGGAAAAGTGGTCAGAAAAATATTTGTTTTGCCCACTTTATCAAAGCTTTTTTGTAGCAGACAGTCCTTTTAACTTTGATTCGTCTTTGCATTTTCTTTCTTGTATTACCATCAACGCTGTTATTGTCAGACACTAAGAAGGTGTAGAGTACACATTGCGTTTCTTTTGTTTTTACCTTCAACAATGTCTTGCTTTTTTCAAAGAACGTCCTCATGTCCTACTTGTGAAATCCTAATGTGCTTGACAAATACAAAGACTCGCAGCCCTTATACACTATGTACCCATTTGTGTAAAATAATACCTTTATGGGTTATCCCTTTGTAAAGTGAACATGTTATGTGGGCAGCAGAAGAAATGGCCTGCTCCTGGAATTATTTTCTCCAACATTTTAGCCTCAGTCCATCCATCCATCCATCCATCCATCTTCTCCCGCTTATCCGTGGTCGGGTCGCGGGGGTATCAGTTCCAGCAGAGAGCCCCAAACTTTCTTTTCCCTGGCCACATCAACCAGCTCTGACTGGGGGATCCCAAGGCGCTCCCAGGCCAGCGAAGAGATATAATCCCTCCACCTGGTCCTAGGTCTACCCCTTGGTCTCTTCCCAGCTGGACGTGCCTGGAACACCTCCCTAGGGAGGCGCCCAGGTGGCATCCTAACTAGGTGCCCGAACCACCTCAACTGGCTCCTTTCGACGCGAAGGAGGAGCGGCTCAACTCCGAGTCCCTCCCTGATGACCGAACTTCTCACCTTATCCCTAAGGGAGACACCAGCCACCCTGCGGAGAAAACCCATCTCGACCGCTTGTATCCGCGATCTCGTTCTTTCGGTCATGACCCATCCTTCATGACCATAGGTGAGGGTAGGAACGAAAATGGCCTGGTAGACAGAGAGCTTTGCCTTCTGGCTCAGCTCCCTTTTCGTCACAACGGTGCGGTAAAGCGACTGCAGTACCGCTCCCGCTGCTCCGATTCTCCGGCCTCAGTAAACAACATAAACAAAGCAGCATCAGATCTTTCAAGTGCCCATTTTCCCGTTGCCTTGCTCTCACTGGAAATGAGACCTGAATTGACTTCAAGCTTAATGGACTTTTACGGTGAAATTAAGGTGAAACAAACAACTAAATCCATTATATATAACACATAATAAGATCAAATGGATACTTCAGGGTCACAGTAGCCTACAAATTGCCTATGTGTCATAAACAAATGTGTTTTAAAAAAGGAAAAGACATGAACTATTTATTTTCCTATTTTATCAAAGCGGTTTTGTAGCGGAGAGTCCCTTTAACTTGTCCTTGATTACTCTTTGGATGTTATTTTTCTTATTTCCTATATATATTTTCTATACTTGTTTTTTTTGTGTTTGTTTTTACGTTGGATAATATCTAAAAATGTCCTCGTGTTAAATCCACCATCTTACCATAAAATGTGCTTGACAAACACAAATATTTGTCCCATTTGTGTAAAATAATACCAGTATGGGTTATCCTTTTGTAAAGCAAACATGTCATGAGGGCACCTGGAGTATGGGCCTGCTCCTGGAATTCTTTTCTCCAACATTTTAGCCTCAGTAAACCAAATACACAAAGCAGCATCAGATCTTCGGTAGTGATACACATGTGCGAGCTGACTGACCGGGCAGCGATGTAGAGCATCCGGTTGATCCTCAGCATCCTCTGGAAGTCCAGGCCCAGGCGCACGGTGTCGTTGTCCGACATCAGGCCCTGGAAGCTGGGGAAGAGGTAGGAGGCTGAGGGGGGGAGGACATGGAGGGAGAAAAGGGAAACAGTTTAATAATCAGGGTTCATACACTTTTTCACCAATGACTTCTCCATGACCTTTACCTAATTTTCCATGACCAAAGAAATTACTCAGCGGTGCCACTGAAACATATTTTAACATGGTAAGCTGGAAAATAAGGTCTGCATATGAAACATGTTGTGCCTATCTAAAACAAATAGGCTTACTATCTCCTACAGACTAAAGCCACTGGAGACTAGAGGGCGTGATTGTAAAAATCTCTCACCAGCAAAACACCTCAACAGTTAAATGCCATTTTAAGTTTCATTACTATACAGTATTTATTATCATTATATTATTACTATTTCGGCGATTAGCTCAAATATAAATTATATTTGGTTACATTTCCATGACTTTTCCAAAACTTTGGGGAAAATATTGCTTTCCATAACTTTCCCAGGGCCTGGAATTTGCATTTTGAATTTCCATGACTTTTCCAGGTTTTTAATGACCGTAGGAACCCTGAGTAATAATACACTTTATTTATATAGCACCTTTCATGCTTGATGCTGACAAAAGTGCTTCACAGAGTATGACAGAAAAGGACAATAACAAATGAGGAACATCATTAAAAACAAGGTATATCACTGAACTATAAAACAATAAAACATGAACAGTGATAAAACAAAAAATTGCCCCAAATTATAAGCCAAATCAAAAAGATAGTTTTTTAAATGACTTAAACAATTGAGGTTGCCGTTCTATTCTAAGATCAAACGGGTTTGGGTCAAAACTGTTTTCTTGGTGTCTAAGCTACTCAGCAAAGGTTCGGCTACAAGAAACGTGTTACAGTATGTCCCTTTGAGGTCTTGGTAAACATTTCCTTTATACAAGTGGAAAAAAAGGGTTCTAAAATCATGTAATTATGTATTTTGTAAGCTGTTTCACAAATAGCTCTGTTAGTTCGATTCCGCAAGAAATCAAACGCTGAAGAAAAGATATAACCTTTACAGTTTGACTAACAATAAACCAAGGTTTCAAGATGGGATACTGTACCAAAAACCCAGAGCCTGCACTGTATGCTAATGTTTTCTTGTGTAGGTGGATGAGCAGAGGAGAAAATAGCATCCAAAGTTGCAAATTAGCTGGTGGTGTCAAAGAAGTCAGTCTGATTTAAATAAACGACTCCAGGAAAGCATTTCTCAACGGATATGTCTGGGGGCTGTGCCAAAAAGAGGACAAGGAAACAAAATCATCTGGATGTGTGTCTGATGAAATCTTATTTAAAAAGCACTCTTGTATCTCCGAGGTGATTAGAGTCAACCTTGGGGTTGTCGGGAATGCAATTTAAATCCTTTCACCTGAACAAACCGCCCGGGAAGACCTCAACAAATAAAGAAAAGTCAGGTCTATAGAAATCAGGTGCATTCACACAGAAGGGGTGCTAAGAGAACGGAAGAGCAGGAGCTACAGTGATGCTAACTAGCTTGATTTTCATTTGCCCTTCATCCTGCCGTGCATTTTAATGTAATCTTGCCTTTTTATATTCCAGCAGATTAACGTACTGGAGGGATTTAGACAATGGGATATGGAGTCCAGCGGTTAAATAATGACAGCCAGTCCGTAGATAGACATGTCTTGCAAATGTTTGATAAAAAAAGGATGCTCCAGGCAGAAATAAAATGAGCCGAGGACTGCCTTGCACGTCGGACTTCCCCTGCTGTTTCCTTTCTATTTTTTCATCTGTACTCCACTGTATTAAATGCCCTTCAGCTTTCTTTCTGACCGTGCTGAATTAGCAAAACCTGAAATACACCACACTTGGTCTCTCTACAGGGAGCCGTATGCCCCCCCCCCAAAACGCCTGCTCTCACATTGACTGCTTAAAGATTGAAAGTGAGAGTGAGCGTGTCTGCTGAAGAGACTCTGCCTTCCTCCCTCTGGCAAATGAGGATTTCTCTAATTACTCTGCAGCACTTTCACTTCCTTTAAGGGCTCTGGGGTCAGCTGGAGCACTGCTCAGGGCAACACGCAGGAGCAAAGGCTGGCGATGATGCCAAGGGTTACCTCACATTACTGCCTCTGGAAAAACATGCCGGCCAAAGGCTGAATCAAATCTCAAGCGTATGTCCTTAAAGGGGCCATATTCTGCTGATGTTCAGGCTCATATCAGTATGCAGTGTCTCTACTTTAAAGAGTCCTCTCCTGCTGATGTTCAGGTGTATATCAGTATGTAGTGTCTCTACTTTGCCCTACTTTGAATAGGAACACTCCATGGTTTACTAGAGAACTATCGGATCTAATTCATGATCGAAATAAGCAATGGTCCTTAGCTAGAAAGTCTAACGCTAGTGATGACTGGCTTCTTTTTCGTGTCCTCAGAAATAAATGTTCAGCCCTTATTAAAAAAGCTAAAGCTGATTACTATCTGAGCTTAACCACTGATTGTTTTAATGACCATTCTAAGTTCTGGAAAACAATTAAATCACTTCAGAACAAGAAGGTTTCTAGTTTCCCAAAAAAACTGGAGGTCAGTGATTCTTTTATTTCAGATTCAGATGAAATGGCTAATGCTTTCAATGCTCACTTCAAAAAGGCTGGTCACATTTTTGATGAGCAAAGTCATGACTCTCTAAATGGTCGTACTCACCGCCCTAGTCAAGAGATGAACTCCCCTGTTTTTGATTTAGCTTATTTCTCGGTCTCTGAAGTCTTACAGGGTTTGCAATCAATGATCCTAAAAGTCTGCCGGGCCTGGCGGCCTCGACCTGTTCTTTTTAAAAATTGCAGCTCAGATTATAGCACAACCAGTAACTGATATTTGTAATCTCTCCCTGTCCACTCACACACTGCCAGCTGTGTGGAAGCAAGCTCTGGTATCGCCCCTCTTGAAAGCTGGTGATCCCACGGAGCTAAATAACTATCGTCCTATCTCAAATCGTTCTGCGTTATCAAAGATTCTTGAGTCCCTAGTTTCTACTCAGCTAAAACTTTTTTTAAATTCACACAACATCCTTAACCCTATGCAATCTGGATTCAGATCAAAGCACAGTACTGTGACTGCCGGTCTGAAAGTCTTAGACGATATTAAGGCTGCTTTGGATAACAAATGTGTTGCATTGTTTATTGACCTAGCCAAAGCATTTGACAACGTATATCACCACATGATGTCTAATGTTATATTGATGTCTCGTTTGTCATAATTCCATTTGCTGGTTTCAGAGTTATCTAACCGACCGTACTCAATGCGTCAGGTTGGGTAGTACTGTCTCTGACCCTGTCACCTTGAAGAAGGGAGTTCCACAGGGCTCTATTTTGGGGCCTTTGCTCTTTGTATTATATGTAAACAATATTTGTAATCAGATGCAATTTTCTACCTATCATATGTATGCTGATGACACTATTGTATACTCATGTGCTCCTTCTCTGGATATGGCCGTTTCCAATTTAAAATCTGATGTCATCACGCTGCAGCATGCACTTCTTGATTCCAAACTGCTTTTGAACAGTAAGAAAACCAAAGCAATGCTTTTTGCTCCCAAGGCAGCGTCCTCTTGCCTCTCCAGTGACACCCTTGATGGCGTCTCTGTTGAGTTTGTCGATACCTACAAATATCTTGGCTTTTGGTTGGACAGTAATCTCAACTTCAAACACCACATTGAAGTTCTAACTAAGAAATTGAAATTCACGCTTGGCTTCCTTTACAGACTTAAATGTTGTTTTTCAACTTCATCCCGTAAAAGGTTGGTCTCTGGCTTATTCCTGTCCCAGCTGGACTACGGTGATACCATCTATAGATTTGCCTGTCCCACTGTTTTGGCCAAACTTGACCCACTCTACCATGCTGCACTGCGTTATATATCAGATGCACCCTATAGGACTCATCATTGCAAACTGTATAGCCTAACTGGATGGTCCTCACTTACTATGCGTAGGATGCGGCATTGGTTTCTATTAATGTATAAAGCCATTTTAGGTAAGCTTCCACTGTACATATGTGCCAGATTTGCTCCAGTTTGTGACTCTTACAACCTCAGATCCAGAGCCTGGATACGGTTCCAGGTTCCTGCTGTGCGGACTGAGGCTGGGAAAAGGAGTCTTTTTTATTATGGTCCTTGGTCTTGGAATGACCTTCAATCACGCCTCAAACTGACGGCACTTGTCTCAATAGCATGTTTTAAATTGAAGTTGTCTGAAGTCCTTACCACTAGCTGCTCTTGCAGTAATAAGTAGTGCACCTTTCTTACTGTCCTAATGTGCTCAATGTAGTGACTGCTTTTTGGTTTTTGTTTTCTTAGTTATGTTCTCTGTATTTTATATGTTTGTGTTATGTGTAACGTTGCTGCCTTCTTGGCCAGGTCAGCATTGAAAATGAGATTCCATCTCAATGCTTTTATCTGGTTAAATAAAGGTTAAATAAAAAAACTTTAAAGAGTCCTCTCCGGCTGATGTTCATGTGTATATCAGTATGTAGTGTCTCTACTTTAAAGAGTCCTCTCCTGCTGATGTTCAGGTGTATATCAGTATGTAGTGTCTCCATTTTAAAGAGTCCTCTCCTGCTGATGTTCAGGTGTATATCAGTATGTAGTGTCTCCATTTTAAAGAGTCCTCTCCTGCTGATGTTCAGGTGTATATCAGTATGTAGTGTCTCTATTTTAAAGAGTCCTCTCCTGCTGATGTTCAGGTGTATATCAGTATATAGTGTCTCTACTTTAAAGAGTCCTCTCCTGCTGATGTTCAGGTGTATATCAGTATGTAGTGTCTCTACTTTAAAGAGTCCTCTCCTGCTGATGTTCAGGTGCATATCAGTATGTAGTGTCAGGTGTATATCAGTATGTAGTGTCTCTACTTTAAAGAGTCCTCTCCTGCTGATGTTCAGGTGTATATCAGTATGTAGTGTCTCTACTTTAAAGAGTCCTCTCTGCTGATGTTCAGGTGTATATCAGTATTAGTGTCTCTACTTTAAAGAGTCCTCTCCTGCTGATGTTCAGGTGTATATCAGTATTTAGTGTCTCTACTTTAAAGAGTCCTCTCCTGCTGATGTTCAGGTGTATATCAGTATGTAGTGTCTCTACTTTAAAGAGTCCTCTCCTGCTGATGTTCAGGTGTATATCAGTATGTAGTGTCTCTACTTTAAAGAGTCCTCTCCTGCCTGATGTTCAGGTGTATATCAGTATGTAGTGTCTCTACTTTAAAGAGTCCTCTCCTGCTGATGTTCAGGTGTATATCAGCATGTAGTGTCTCTACTTTAAAGAGTCCTCTCCTGCTGATGTTCAGGTGTATATCAGTATGTAGTGTCTCTACTTTAAAGAGTCCTCTCCTGCTGATGTTCAGGTGTATATCAGTATGTAGTATCTCTACATGTCTCCATGCATTAATGTTCAAAAAGCTCTTTATTGTTCTCATACTGTCTGTGCTGCAGCACCGCTTTTCACCCTCTGTCTGAAACCAGAGCCCAGTCTGCTCTGATTGGTTAGCTGCTCAGCTCTGTTGTGATTGGTCAACCACTTAGAGATGTCCCGCCCCATTAGCCTATCAGGTACAATGCGTCGGAGCACTAGCCAATAGAAGCTCGAGTGTTACATAGTGATGTCATTATCATACAGAAGAAAACAAAGGAGTCCAATGGAGTGGATTTTTTGGGAAATGTTAGCGTTTGCAGACCATTTACATGCACAAAAACCTAAATATCACACTATAAGAAGGGGAAAAGCCCCAAAAAGCAGAATAGGGCCCCTTTATTCAGACCATCATTGCCACTGCATCATTAATCAGAAACTATTTTGATAGTTATTCCGTCATTTTCAGGAAAAATGACCCAAGAGTCCTTGCATCTGATTACAGTGAACTGAAAGTATTTTAAAAACATTTGGTAGGTCATCTGGAGGATAAGGAGACTGTGAAGGGCCATTTGTAATAAGATTAAGCACTAATGAAAATAAATAGTTTCTGCACTTAATAAAATGTCATCCAGGAATTTGGTGGCCAATGTGCAAATACATATTTTGTGAAAAGAACAGTCAACGTCTAGTGTTAATCTTGCAATAGCTGGTTTTTATCAGCTTGAAATAATTAATGAGTTGTGCAATACTCTCTAAATGGTTTCATAAAAAAGCTGTATTAGGGTTTAAATGTCATCATATCTCCTAGACAATAATGTAGCCTCTTTGTGAATATGTGTTAAAGTATACAGCAATATAGTAATGTACATAAAAAGACGAATGAAATACACTCTGTAAATGGCAAAGTCAAACCGTACACCCTTTTTATAGGTCCCTTATGCCTTAGCTCCACAACAAATGGGATTAATTCACCATTCAAAAAGAGATTAGTTATTTTTCAATGATCACAGAGTAGAGCCATTGTGTGTTAGTGGAAAGTCTAAATGTTGTATTATAGTGTAAATCAAAAGTTCATGGCAAGTGAAATTGTCCGATTCTGTCCTTAGTTGTGACAAACAACGTATAATATACTTTATAACTTTGCCCTCACATCACAGTTTGACATTAATCGTCAGGACATGGTTTACGGAGCTTATGCATCCGGCTGAGAATGACATTCTGGGGAATAAAGCAAATACTAGAAAATGTGTTTTTCTCATATGTCCCCGAAATGTCTGACCTTGAGTATACTGTCTTGTATCCGTTAGGGCTGCACGATATTGGAAACAACTGACATTGCGATATACATACCGGAATTGAAGAAAAGACCGTTTTTTTCCCCGCAAACCATCCTTTCTTGAACTTTAATGCTATACAATTGGTATTGTTTTAACTATATTCAACCAGATGAAGGATTTTAGTCACGGACGTCTGGATCTTAAGTTCAGAGCAACAAGCTGAGCTAGCTCGGTTATCGCGATTATCGTCACGACACGATATATCGTGCAGCCCTAGTATCCGTGTAGTTTATCGCGAAATTCGTCTCCTGACGGGGGGAGGAGCACCTCTTTGCTATTTTTGTAAGGATTAGCAGAGGGGAAGTTTGGACTGCTGCAAACATGGTAGAATGTGCAGTTTTTGGATGTAAACCGGGGGTACTTTCCTCTCTACCACAAACAAACCAATAGACATTACGTTTCTCAACCACCAACGCTAGTTTGGCCACTGCCAGCTAGCAAACAACATAAACAAATAAAATATGCTAACCAAACACAACATTACATTTGTCTGCTAGTCACCCGTTTTGTTTCCAACTCTTGAGTCAAGCATGTGTGGCTGTATCCCTAAGACCTTTCTTCTAATGGAGAAAATAGTCCAGAATCCCAGAACTCTTTGATTTGGAGCTTCAAGATCACAAGCATTCCCACATGGAGTAACATTCCTCAAAGAAGGAGCAAGAGTTGATGTGATTGCAGTCTTTTTTCTGAGATAAGTGAAACCTTTTTTATTGTTGGGAACCATTTAAAGACAGCACGAATCATAGCGGAGTAGTCTTACTTCAAAACGTGCCTGGAGGCAGACTTTAATATAAGATCCAACATGGCAGCAGCTTTTTTTGCCAGCAACTCCTGCATTATTATCTATATTTATTGCCTCCAACAGCCTCAGCAGTCACAGGAAAGACAAGCTGCCGAGTCGTCTGTCCACTTCCAGAAAGAAGTAGTGAGTATGATATTATAGACTCCGTCCCCATGAAGTACCACCATTCATAATGGACGTCTGGCGGAGATGTGCGGGACCTCGTGCCCCGCTGTCACCTGCTGGAACCAGAGGTGATAAATTGCTCTCATTACACCTGGGATGGAGCTCCACATATAGCACTATTAGCACAGCTATTCCTGCTAATGGTTGCGTTACTCTCTTCCAGATAGATCAATTACAGTGTGTAGGCCATGGTCTCGGCCACCTCTTAAATCAATTATGGGCCATTACATTTAGAGCCGGGACCTTGTGGACCTCCCCAGCGATTGGGTGCCAGGGTTCGATGAAGCAGTTTCTTCAGAGTCACAGACGTCCAAGAAGCAACTCAGTCAAACTCTTATCTCTGCGGCTGCTGAACTCTCTGCAGCTAGAAGGGCTGAGCGATACTTCGTCATCAGCCTTTATCAGGTGGTTAAAGTCCCCTAGGTGTATTGGGGTAAGGTCCCCACAGGCGGGTTGAGTGAGGTTGTGCCCGTAAACTAACCTTAGGTAGGAGGCAGAGTTTCCGTTAGCCAGTAATTACCGGACGCCGACTGGTAAAATATGCTGAAGACCAGCAAATCTATTTCTCTCCGGTCAAAATGTCTGGTCAAAATAATTTCCCCTTAGCGCAATACCAAATCAGTTGCGCCATTTATGTGACAGACAGAAGAGTATGTGACAGACAAGAATAGTCAATTCTAATTTCTAACACTTAATGTGGAGAAAGAGATGTCCTGTGTGGGTTAATTGTGCGTTGATCTGTTGGTAATGCCTCGGGATTCCGGTGGGCATGTAAACAAATGCATAATGCTGCGCTATACTTTGTGGCCTCACCCGGTTGCATAGCGACGCTTATTGTTTAGGTGTCTATTAATAAGCAGGTAGTCATATCATTAGCTAGAACTAGCTGGATCTGATCGATATGAACATAAACGCGAGTAAAGTCTAATCTGACGGGATCAGAGATCAGCTGCTGCTGACGAGTCGACATGCAGCTCTGCATGATCACATGCAGCGGTGAACGGAACAAAACACACACTTCAGGTTAGAATATCACACGTAGCTATTTTAATTACCTCTCAAACTACCTACACTAGTTATAGATATGTTTAGTTTTACTGTCAGGTCACTCAATACTGGATCCGCGAGCTTCATGATACTGACGGCCCTATTCTTTTCAAAGGGGCTTTGCTAACATTTACCGTAATGTGGTATCAATGACTGTGTACATGTAGTTTGCCCTAGTAGGTGGGTACCAAGGACAAAATGATCCAATATTGCCTTTTTAATTCTGGTCTTTGTTGTGTTCGCACAATTGTATTGACAACAAAACAAGAGTTGCGAACATAAAGACGTGGGTAACTCATTCAGGAATTAATCTTGTGTCTGCACCAGAGTCAGTTTGTCAGTTTTCAAGCCAACCCAAAACCCAACTGGGACTGAGCAGCAGCATCCTAAATAAACATTTTATAAACATCATTACACTTTGGTCATTTAGTTTGTTACCTTTGGTCCAAACCATTGTGGAGAGAATGGATGAAAATGTTGTCTTAATAAATAAACTCAAAGTAGCAATAATATATCAAAATATTGCGAACAAGGAACTGTTTAGGAACAGACCCTCATTACAAACAAACTAAGCAGATTCAAGCCATTTGTCTCTGTAAAAACACAAGAGTTGTACAGAGAAACAATCAAGATAAAGGAGCAAACATCCAAAATAAACATTTGTATAAATATCAATATATAAAACTTAAGTGTTTTGGGATGGTTTGTTTTCTTGGGTAGAAATAATTGTTAATGGGTTTGCTGTTTCGTTTTAACCTTATAGTTAAAGTGTAACTAAAGTAGAGTAGTATATCAAATAAGGTCTTCTTATTTGATATACTACTTTGCTTTAGAGTAACATAAACACAATATGTCTTTGTAGGATTACTCCCTTACAAACTGTCCCTCAGCTTTGACTGGAACATGGGTTTTCTTGCCGATATAGTTTCCTGATTTTAAACGTCCAAACCAAAAGGGAAGAAATAAGAATTCTATCCCCGCCGCTGAATAAACCTCCCGCTGCGAACATGCCCTCGAAACACACCGGCTGCTATAAGCCTCGCTCCCGAGTGATGATATTATGCCTTAGTGACCCTCGATGTACATTACGTTTTTACTCCTGCAACCAGTATCACCATGGCAACCCTTTTTGAAACAGATTTCTGTTGAACTCACACTCTCTGCCCACGATGCTGATGGGCTCCAGGTCCTGGGGGAAGGGCGTGCCTCCGGAGGACAGCTGAGGGAGGAAGGAGGCCAGGGTGAGAGCCAGGAGGAGGGGGGGGGGGCCTCATGGTGGCAGACGACGATGAAACCTCACCAGAAACACATGTCCCGCAGATCAATCACCTCCCACCTGCAGAGAGACCAGGGCCAGGACACGTCAATGTACAGGACAAAGAAACCTTTCACTTTGTGTGTACAGACAGAGGGATCAAAATACTGCTTCCTACAAGCCCAAATATAAAAATACATTAAAATATGTATATCCTATATATACACACAATCAGACACATTTATAAGCAACACAAAACAATGCAAACCGCTTGAGCCTATGCTAGAAGATGGAGAATATTACAGTTCTCCTAATCATTGGGCTAGTACGTCGAATTAAACCACATTTTATATACTTCCCCTGTTTTTAATAACCCTAACAATTTGCATGCATTTCATTTTTTTGTTTCATACGTTTATATATTTTTAAAAGTAGAGTGGTTTATTATAGTGTATTCTAACTTATTGAGTGTGCCCCTTTATAGATATGCTATAGATGTATTTCTTTCTACAGTTGATATGTACCTATTTAATGTTAATACATATGCTACTGTGAACAACAATAACGCATACATCAAATCTAAAATAATCTAATTTATTGATCACAAATTGTAAATTGTTTCGTTACAGCAGGATGTCAACAAGGTATTGCACATGAGCCAGTAGAAATAAATATATCTCTAGAATACACAATATAAAATATACTGTGATAGACAGACCTACTACTAAAAGACAAAGGATAATATATACTATAGTACATTATACAAGTGTGAAAAGTAGTTATTCAAATACAAATCTAATCTCAAGCGGTTTAACGAGGAAACTTCAACAATTAGCAGCAGCATGTTAGAGGTGGCAGCTAAGTTCCTATTAGCATGCGGCGCCTTATGTCAGTGTGGCGATGTGATCGAGTGTCCCTGCTGAAGTGAGAGGAGGACATGAGAAGTGTGGAGGACAACCGCCTCATTTCCTGCCAAGCAAAGTCTCTCACAGGTGGCTGGGCACAATTAAAAACTCGCCTACACGGAGAACGCCTTTTCACCCGCTCTGACACCGGGCCTGAAGGCATCGCTGATTACTGAGGTTAAAGGTCAGAAAGGGAGGAATGGAGACGTGTCCGAGCCGTGCTGTACCCAACCTCTTACTCAATACATGCTAGGACCGGTTATAGCTCTCTACTGTATGACGCTGACGATTATAAGTGGTTTCAGAATTAACGGATGGAGGGATAGGAAGGAAGAAGAAGTAGATAATGGAGATTGATGGACACAATGAGTTGCAGTTGTTAAACACATTAATTGTACAAAGTATAATAAGAAAATACTCCTCCAAGAAAGTATAAGAAAGGGAAAAAGCTAATAGTTAGACTTAAAAGCTAGATGGAAATCCGAAATCATACATTTGTCCAATCTAAAATGTGCCCTTTTGTTTTATATAACTTGTTTTATCCGCACCAAAAATAACAATGCAGAATAGTGGAAAAATTGATATCACAAAAATCCAATAATTAAAGGTGGAGATGTCATTTTGGAGAAACCAGCTCGAGTGCGCTAGAATTTGAAAATACACAACCGGAAACAATCTGCCCCTTCCTTACAGAGCCCCTCCCCCAACACACACGAACGCGCACATGACCAATGAGGGCACGAGATAAGTTTGTGCACGAGATGGAAGGCTGACAGGCAGGTAGGCCATCCAGTTACTTTAGCCGGCTCAGATCATTGGTCGTGCTTTTTACAGCGCCACGGCTTCCAGAGATGATATATTTTTATGTATTTATTGTCAAAGCATTTCATGTATTCATTGCTATCGGGATGTTAAGAGCATTCTATGGGATATAACAACAAGTGTTTCTGAAGTGAATGACCTACCCCACCTTTAACCGGTACAATTAGAATAAAATGAAGGAGAGACGTCCTGATACTGTTTAGTTAATGAACTGGTTTGTTGTAGAAAGGCAGATTTTTCCAGCAAACTTTAATCTGTTTGCATGTTTTTGCGATATCCAGCTAAATATTAGTCATACCAACAATACATACAACTCCCAGCATTTAAGAAAAACTACAATTCTCAGCACTTGATGTTAGACTCCTTCACAGACGTGCACACCATGCAACCTTTCAGAAGACAGTTGGCTGGTGAAGTGATTCATTCATCCTGAAATACTAGACACGCAAAAGAAAGACATTGATTTGCATAATAGCAACTCACTAAACAAAGCCACAGTGAAATGTACAACAATTAAAAGAAAGTTAAGAGAACAGATGAAATGTTACAAAACAGCAGAACGTGGTTGATCTCACAGAAACAGCTCACACACAGATGTGGAGACACCTGCGTTGATTCAAAGCCACACGCTGTCATTTCCAATGTCCTGAGAACAACTCCTAAAACGTTACGGTTTTGTTTTTTTAAGTCAATTCATTGAACATGTCAGAAACAAAACATACAACAATAATAATATATTCTTTTTTTTTTACAGTACAAACTAAATAATACAAAAATAAAATAAATTCTCAAATAGTGTGTCATGTTCAACAGGGGCAAGAAGAAGCTTAAAAACAACTTTTCTGGTCCTCCCCCCTCTAGCATACATTGTCCTTATAAATAAAACATTAGGTCATCAGCGTCGTGTTCGTCTTGTTAATTTGTTTGTTTTTAACAAAACAATTAGAAAGAAATGACTTTTACAATTACAAGAAATAACAAATGGGATTTTACAGGTCCTGTTCATAACCATTCATGATTTGGCTCCTAAACAATACTTTCAGTTTAGACTTGTACAATATTTCAGTGCAAGTATTTCAAGTTTAATACGTGGGAATATTGAAATTGTACACAAAAGATCATTTCCAAATCTCTTTGATATCCGAGTGAAGAGATTAGAAACGAACTTACTTCATGACTGCAGAATTATTTAGGCTCACTCTCCTCTACAGTAGTCCCTATTGTAGGTACTGTGCTGCTTGCCAATGAGACGCGGGCCTCATGGCTTTTAAGTGGGGGCAGAAAATTAAGTCAACAGAGACATGAACGGTCATCAATATTGATAAAGGTCCACTTCATTTAAATGCATGGGAGAGAGCTGCTAGCAATGAGGTCAAGCGATCGCAATACATGGACTCATGGAGGGGAGTGGGCGGGCGTCTGCTGCTGTTTACTTTGAGAATTACAACAGCTTATGCGGCCAGCCTTACGCGATATATATATGAGGACAATATACCTGATGGATTAGCTTCATATGCCATGATTTGGATGTTTTTCCCCTGCCAAGGAGGACAGCAAATTGAACAAACATATTAAGTTTTAGTGGCATCGCCGCAAGAGACAAATTCATGAAAAGCAATCCCTAGAAATGTCAGACATATTCAGGGTTTGAAGGAAGCTTGGTCATGCAAAAACAAAACAGCTGTTAAATGCCGAGCAAAGAGTCCTACGTTCAGACAAGAACATTGAGAGAGCGTTATATTCTTGTGAGGAAGGAAGATAAATCATTTATTGACAACCTGGGTACTTAGCTAAAGCAGGCAGCCAGCAGAGTGTGATGATGCATGCAAAACAAGAGCCTCCGCAAGACCACTCATACACGCTGAAACCAAAGATAACACTACTACAAGCCAAGGCAAACCATGCAGGCTCCTGGTGAATTTCATATCATCCACAGAAAGCCTCACTGCCTTAAAAGGAACAGAACTGCAGAGAGGAACTGCAGGCCAAAGCAAACTCAGGAATAAAGAAGTGATTGCACTTTCATTACAGCATTTAGAGAACAGAGACTGAGCAGAGACAACATGTCATCACTGACACAACGACAACCTCCACTGGCTGACAGCTGCTGAACAACCAGTTAGTCCGCACTGTCGTCGCCTTGAGTCATTTTCCAGAGAAGAGCAACGTCACAAAGGGATGTGGCTCAGCAAAGGTGTTTTAAAAACCACTTAAATAACCCTCCTTCAACCCCTCTAACAAAAGGAGAGGAATGCTGAGTCAAGTAAAGATCCGTCAGACAAAGATTGGCGTTATTTTTTAAAACATTGACACCATTTTACAGACAGATTTATAAGATCATAAGCGATGTCTGAGGGTTCAATACAACCCCATTAAATACCACATACATGTTGGTTAACCGAAACAAGTTCAATGTTACAAATGCAATACATTTCAGCCCTTGTAATGATGTGTGACAACAAAGGACATGGGTATGTTAAGTATTAAAAGTTGGCTTCAAATGCTCCATAAGATTAATTAAATAGAGCCTATTTTAAGTCATTACAATATAAGTTTAACACAATCTTAGTTGTTAAAATGACGTTTAAAAGTTATACAAATAAGAAGTCTGGCTGACATATCAGATAAGAATACAGAGAACATGTGTGTATCAACCAAAATAAGTAAAGAAGGTATATTAATGTATTATGATATTGAAGGTATTAAAGGTTGAAAGCATCACGGTCAGTATTTTCATCAACAGTAAACTTTATATTTGCACCCAGCCCTACAGTTAAAAAAGCATGTATGGTGCTCTGTTGTGTATGTTAGTCAAAATGACTATATTCAGCAAAATCCTGGCATTTAAATGCAATGTAATGTCCGTATTAAAGGTTAAGGCTCTGATTTGGTTCTGTTTCAGCTCTGTCATCGTCCCGAGAGAACAACTGGAGAAAAAATATGGCTTCTCATTCCTTTTGACCTTTTCACAATAGAGCCGAAACACACCTGACGTCCTGAAGCTGCCGTGTTTACCTCGCATGCAAATGTGTCAACAATGCATCCCCCCTCTGGAATCCTGAACTTTCTTAATCTAAACTAATACAAAGTCTAATCAGTTAATGACTTTCTGTTGGGCCTGAGGCGGGAGTGGACAGCTGTCGAAGGGAAATAAGCCAACGCTTATCTCATCTGGTGTTCGCTCTCTGTGTTCTGGGGTTTGGATGGGAGGGCTCGGATCATTTTGTTTTTAATGAACTGGACTTGTTAAGCCATCTGGGACATTGGCAGTTGGGCCTCTTCGGAGA